CCCACATTTCAGAGAGCTGCAGAATTTGACTGAAATCTGAATGTGGACATTTGTGAACAAGGTGAATGTTAAACAAAGCTGCAATTAAGAAATGGTTCCAGTCCACTCTTAACTGACTTTATTCATATACCCCAAGGGATGCCACTGTTCAAAATCAGCATGTTCAAGATTTACTGCACATGTTAAAGCACAAACCCACATGTCATTATTTCTCCACTGTCTCTGACACTGTAGTAGCAGACAGAGATATGGGACTTTGAATCTGGGTGTGAGATGCCACATGAAAAAATGATTGCAAATTCAAACCCTTGTTCTGTGAACATCAGCTTTCAGGATAGAGAGGAACATCTTATTTGAAAGGGGCAAGCACATACTAAGAGCTAACCTTTGACAGGCTAATACTTGACATGTCTGCCAGGGTAGAGGGTTTGTTGAAATATCATTGGATTTAGCTGAATTTCATATTAAACCTGTGTTCATAATAGTTGATTTGAAGCTGTATAACCTAAATACTTGACTTTTGAGCCAGTTTCATGGTCATCTCATCTGAAGCACTATAGTGCCGCCAGCACACTGTTGTCTGTAGTAACTTAAACTATCCTAAATGTCACAGAGGTGGCTGCAACTCAAATAGTGTGCTTAAGTATTTAAGTGGTAAATTAATAGCTTTAATAAACAAATTACAGTGATGTCTAAATACAGTGTTTAAAATATAACAGGATAGAAAAGAAGTTTTCTTACAGGTTTACAGTTGGCTTTCTTCTGTATTTAAGGTGGCTTAAGGCATGCTGTTGCCACTATAGCAGGTCTTGAAGCTTACAAGTACATGAAATTTGAAGGGGGAGTTCATCGTGTTCAGCGGGTACCAAAGACAGAAAAACAAGGACGCATCCACACCAGCACAATGACTGTTGCAATATTACCCCAACCGACCGAGGTAATGTTTATCTTTTAGTATAACACTTTATAGACTTTACTATGAGCAATGTTTTTACATGCTGTATTGCTAATACCCGTGTTTTCTGTCTCTCTCTTGTTATTGTCTTCTAATGATCTTTTTAAATCTTAATTTTAAACTAAATCATATTTGTTTGTTTATTTTAATTTTTGTCTAGGGTGTGAAATAAAGAACTTCTGTGTTTTCTCGTAATCATAATCTCAAGAAAGTCACTGGCAGTTTACTCCACTGTAACTTGAAAATTCACTCATCTCTTGCATTTTTGTAAGCTTTACATTTTTTGAAAAGTAACAAAAGACTGAATTAGTTTACAGAGCTCAAAGAGATTTCTTTTAGCACCTCCTCTTCCCCTTTTTTGTGGTGTCCTCACTTTCCAGAGTGTATAGATGATAACTCATTCTCGCCATGTTTGCTTGGTTACAAACAACTGGCTAAGAATTAAAGCTTTGCTTTGATCTTTGTTTCATGTTGACCTAGCAAACAAAGATGTTACTGCTTCCTGTTCTCTCCCAAAGTTGTCTTGCTCCTTCCAGAGACCATCACCCCATTCCAGAGCAAAATCTTCCATTTTATCTAAAAACCATCTGGTCAAGTTCAAATATTGGTTAGTTCTTCTAGAAGAGGGTGCAGAGCTTTTGGAAGAGGGGGAAGATCAGTGCTAAAGGATGGTTATGCCTTAGGCTACTATTTGTTTGATTTCCCAGTTTCCATCATGTTGCATTCCAATTTGGCTACAAGGATTTGTTAACATGTTTATACATGGAAGAAAGCTACCACTCATAAACTTTTAAAAGTTTGATCTTGCCTGAATGTGCCTTATAAAATAAACCAGCTTTACATATCTGACATCTGCCTAGGGAGAAACAACAAAAATTTTTCTTTCTGTCTTTTTTTTTTCCCATCTCCCATGACAGATGAAGCTGCAAATTAATCCAAAAGATCTACGGATAGAAACGAAGCGAGCTACTGGAGCTGGAGGCCAGCATGTCAATACCACAGACAGTGCTGTACGGATAGTTCACATTCCAACAGGTGCTTTTTTTTTCCGTTAGTACAAGATCTACATTGCAAAACCACTGTCAGAATTTCTTTTGAAACTGTGGTTTTATTTTCAAATATGGACAACAATAGAGCAGAGTTTTCATGTGTGTTTATAGTACTCTAAATGCACCATCGTGTACCCACTCCAATTTGCAACAGTGAAGATTACTGACTTCAGTAGATAAACAATCCATTTTGCCATTGAGCATGACACTCTAAAAGTGTCCAGATCAGTTGCTATGAAAGTTATATTTACACTTTCAAATAATGAAAAAAAAAACCTGAAAAAAACAGAATAGGTTAAAATCTGATTATTTGCCTTCTCTTGACTAGTCTCTGAAAGAGAGATTGCTTTATTTACATACTAAAATGTTGCTTTTCATTGTAGAGAAATTGTTCATTTTCCATTTGTCTGTTGGCTCCTTTCCCATAGATTACACACATAATTAGGAAGCCCATGCCCACGGCTCAGGTTAGGAAACATAGGAGGGATAAGATACACCTTCAAATGCTACCTCATTTTAGCTATCGTATCTTTTTTTCTTAATTGCCATTCTTAAGCTTTTTACTTCCTTTTGAGCAATCTACAACAGCTGCTTTGACTTTCATTGCTTTTTAGCTTTTCCTCTCCTCTACCACAAACATTAGTCAGGCTTTACAACCTCAGGATAATCTCGAGTGCTCCTTATCTTCACATATCCAGATTTTTGCCACCGATTTCTTCATTTTTATTGAAGATATTAATCCATTCTACACTTGTTGCATCACCTCAGCAAAGCAGAAGGTAAACAGTGGAGAGGATAGAATTCTGTTGAAGACAAAAAAAAGCTCTCCAGATTCAAAAAGTTTGGATTTCCTGTAAGTTTGGGAAAAAAAAGCCAAACAATAAAACCAGCAAATTATAAATTATCTTATTTTTTTGCTAAAGGCGGTTATTAGTATTTGTTACAGAAGTTTTTTTGTACATTTTTGTTGTGGTTGCACACTGGAGATTGTTCATAGGGGGCTTTGTGTTGCTTTATCTCCTTTTTCCTATTCCACCTTTCCCTTCCTCATTCCTTTTGATTTCTTTTCCTTTACAGTTGTCCTGTTACTTCTTCTATTCCCCTCATCCTAGCTATTTTTATAAATCTTCATTGCAATCCAAAGCTATTTGTAAACAAGTCTTTCATAAAGTAATACTGTTCAATCTTAGAAAAGCATACTGTGGTCTTAAAAGAGTTACTTAAAATAAATCCAAATAACAAATAGCTTGTGCTGTCTTCTGCCTGTATTTCTTCTCCCTACTCCTTTCTTAGGCTGTTCACTTCTTATCTTAACTTAAATTGTATGTTTTGAAGGGAGAAACTGGCGCCTTTATTTTTTTAAAGAAAATTGTGCCCACATTTGTATATTCTGATCATATTCTATATACTCATTATCTCTTGTATTTTATTACTCCTTAAATTCTGAATTTCCTGGAACTGTGGCGAAAAGTTGCAAGTATTAAAGGTGTCTTCTGTAAGTCATCCACAATATGTATCTTTTATTTCATTATTTACCTTTTGTCTAAATTTCTTGTCCTATGGGTCAAAGCACCTGTACAACTCAGCCTGCACTTCTCTCCAAAAATGTATCATTAAATGTTAATAAGCCTGGACTTTTACATTCCCAATCCAAAATACGTTTTGAAGGAAGAAGCAGCTTATTGTAACATAATACAAATCTTCCAGAAATTGCAAAAGTATGTGCTAATGTTAGGTGTTAAATATTATGATATTTTTGGCAGGGATTGTGTCCGAGTGTCAACAAGAAAGATCTCAAATTAGAAACAAAGAGAAGGCTATGCAAATGCTATGTGCTAAACTGTACAATGCCAAGCTGGAAGAAGAAACCAAAAAGAGAAACAGTGTTCGAAAGGTTCAGGTAAGTTTCACTCAGTAAAGATGTAATTCTCTATGACCATAAGTCATTGGGGTAACTCCTGTGTTGAACTGCAAATAGTAAATGAAAGTACCGAAGAACAAGAGCCCAGGGAGGACTTGCATGAGGCAAAAAATCACATTCTACTTCAGCAGTAAAGGTCTGTTAGCCAAACTTAAAATTTCAGTAGTATGTAAATTCTAGAGATCTAATGAAACAAACTGGATTACAGCAAGAAGAATGAGAGTAGTATTGGAAAAACATGCAGTAAAATTGTTCTTTAACATGTTTGAGAACAGTTACTGCAACTAGTGAACTGATCTGAGTACTATGTAACATATTTTGGATGAGTATGGGAGGAAGAGAAAGTTTTTGCTTTAAATGCTTTATCAGTAGTTCACCCTTTTTATAAAAAGATGATGATGATAAACTGATCCTTCTTGTTTGACAGATTGGGACTAAAGGAAGGTCAGAGAAGATCAGAACATACAACTTCCCACAGGACCGGATTACTGACCACAGGATAAGCAGATCAGTGCATCATATTGAGTGTTTCATGCTAGGAGAAGAAAAGCTAGATGAAATGATACAAACTCTGAGAGAACATGCTGATTATGAATCTTTAATGGAAATTATTTCAGAAAATGAAAAAAAGAGTCTGTCATGAACATTGCTCTTTGTCAGCCCATTACAACAGATGTGGACTTACGTCTGCAAAGGAGCTTCTTGGTGCACCACTCAGAAAATTCTGCTGCTTTTCAGATCCTGAAAGATACCACAACTTGTTTCCTCATGACTGATAAACAGTTTTCTTACTTGCTAAGTAAAAGACTTTATTACCTTTATATGAGACGTTATTGCTGAAGCAGTTCACTTAACATTTAGGCTGGAAGTAGCTGCAGTTTTTAACTTTCTCCACTGGGAAGATGCTGATACACCACTCTTGAAAGGTACACATTAAACAATTAGCTATTTTTAGTTCAAGTTTTCATTTAAACAATAGTTTAAGCATCAGTAGAGTGTCAAATAGCTTACTTGAGAGAAAAAAATGCTATTCTTTGAGTGATTAGAAGAAAGTAATAAATGGCACCACTTATTAATTACTTACATGAAAGAGAGTCAAAGTGTATCTCGTTTGTGTTTTCATGACCACCTAGAGCTTATTAGTAAACACAAAAAAGAATGTTTGGGAATATCCCTTGTTCCAGGAAAAGAAAAAAACCAATCTGTGGAAGCCAAAGGGCAAGTTATATGAATTTATTTTGATTCAAAAGAGAAAAGAATCATGACACTATTGTTTGGCTGGTATTTCCATGTGGCTTCAGTTCAGTTTCTTCTTTATGTTTTTAATTAAGTCTCCAGTTTTTTGATTTTTCTAAATGTTACACAGTATGAATGGCATCTCCCTGGTTTTGTCTATTTATTTAAAACATTTGATCTGTGAAAGCAAAGTAAAACTTTTGCCTTTTCATTTTACCATTGTATATGCACATGTTCACAGCTGTGGGTAAAGAAGGCTTTAACTTCTATTTTACATTACATTTTACAATCCCAAATATATAAAGCAATACAAACCCTGCAGCTTCCATGCCACGTTATCCCATCATGTACTCTACCTACACACACACAGAATGTATTTGAAGTATAAATACCAGGAAGTAAGAAATTGGAACCTAGGGAAAAATATTACCATGAATATATGAGTGTTCATTTTCAGACTTCTAATAAAAATTAGTGCAAGAAATCAGAATAGGAATAAATAATTTTGCTATGGATAGTTTATAGAAATGTATTATTTAAACATCCTCTATAAAAATCAACCAATTATCAGTTTATTATCTTTTATTATATTTTAGAGTGCAGTTTGAACCACTTCATGTCAAAAAACCGCATAGAATCATTTAATACATTTATCAGCTTTGTTGTCTAGGAAATACTGTGTAGTAACTATGATTAAGTTCCAAATCTTTTAATTAAAGATGTATACATTAACTTCAGATTAGGAGCATCTGTGCATAAGATTAGGCATACATATTTCCTGTTGGTAAGTGTGAGACCTAGGTCTAGATTTACTAGCTGATCTACAACTCCCAGTTGGCACCTAAGAAAGTAAAAATAAACATTGTTGCATTTTGTGCGTAAAAATAATTAGATACTGGTTGGAGCAGAAATGAGGGCTGAAGTCTTTATTCCTACCAAATCAGTACTGTAAATGGAAGACTACAGAGCCCTTGTGACAGTCTTCCTGACTTCACATAAAGCCAGGCTACCTTATGCCAAGTGATGGATGGAGTTTGTGATTCCTTCTCTCTCTAACTTAAGCTTCATATTCCTTCAGACAAATAAGAGCCATCAGTCAGGTCTAAGCACTGGTACTGCCTGAAACTTACCTAAGCGTTGGGAGTCTTTGTCACCCTAGACCTTCCCTGATGTTCTGGCTGGTGACCTGGCTGGCTACATCCTGCCTGGCTCCACAGCCTCCCTGTTCTTGTCTGGCTTCTGAACAGACACTGGATGCATTGTTGCCTTGCAAGTTGCCAGCCTCTGATCAATGTGAGAAAACCCATGGTTCTGGCAGGAGGCTGACAGAGGTACTCAAAAACTGGCATGTGACAGTACCATAAAAGGCAGACTTTGCTATCTTGAGTGGAACCTCCGTGGCCTGTCCTGGCAAGTTTTACTGGGTGAAGACTTCAAGTCTCGTTCTTGCTCCAAATTAATTTTAATGTGAGGTCTTCTGTCCCAGGGCAAATGCAAGCTCTCTGAGCTGTTGCGATCGCACTGCACGATACAGTTCTTCCACGGGGAAGAACTCAGATGTAGGATACACTGCGCGACTTCAGGAGCCCTTCTCCGGTATAGAGGAGCCCTGCATACTCTGAGCGTGCACTCCGATTCTGCAAGGATGGGGGCAAGATCCCAGTCGCATCCGTTTAGAAGAGAAACCCCCAGATGTATTCGGGCGCCAGGCAGTGCTTAGGCTCGTATGTTCCCCCCACTCTCTCCAGCCCCACAGAACGGAAGTCTGTTGCTCCTTCAGGAGGGCGCTGGGAGACCGTTCGCGGGACGGGCGGGAAAAAAGGGGGCAGCCCGGAGAAAGGGGGGAACCGGGGGAAACAGGAGACCGGAGGGAAGAACCCAGCCCCGCTCTGCCGATAGCCCCGTCTCCCGCGCTCAGCTCCGCCCCCCCTCCCCTCCAAGCTCCGCCCCTCGGAGCGCGCGCCAGCTCCTCACCACTCACCTCACTCCTTGCCGGCCGAGGAGGGAAAATATGATCCCGAACGGCTCCGCCCACGGCTGCTCTGATTTGGCCCCCGCCTTCTGCCCGCCTCCCACTGGCTGCCGCCGCTGCCAGCGGCTCCCCATTGGGCGGCGCGATTTTGGATACCAAATTCAAAGTTTAAAGTACCCGGCGAGAGCAACCGCGCGTTCATTACCCGCGGCCGCGCAGCCCTGCAGGTGAGCGGGAGAGCGCCGCAAGGGGGGGTGGGCAGCGGGGCTGAGGGCTGAGGACTCTGCGGCAGGGTCGGCTTTGGGCAGCGGGGCTGAGGACTCTGCGGCAGGGTCAGCTCGGGGCAGCGGGGCTCCGGGCTGAGTGAGGACTCTGCGGCAGAGTCGGCTTTGGGCAGCGGGGCTGAGGGCTCTGTGACCGGGACTGTGGGGGCTGCTGGCGTGCGTGGCGGCGGGACTGGTGGTGTTGGCGGCGCTGTGAGGGGCACCAGGCGGATCGCACACGGGGATCCCCGGTGGCCGCCTGGTCCTGCCGCCCTCCGTAGCCTTGCCCCGCAGCTATCCAGCCGGCGGGACTAGGTGGATGGATGGATGGATGGGTGGGATGGGAGGAGACGGGACGGTAGCGTACGGGCAGCCGCAGAGCCCAACGGTCCCGCCACCCAGTAGCGTGTGGTACTCGGGTCCGCGCTGGGGTGGCGAGCGCGGCATCCGCCGGCAGGCAGCGGCGGGTTGGGAGGTGCCGCGCCGCGCTGTCTTCCGCCCGGCCACGCCGCTGGAGGGGGCCATCCCCTGGCGCGCTCCTGCCCGTCCCGCCACCACCATTTCAGGGGGGATCCTCGGACGCGGGGAAAGCGGAGACCCCTGAAGGCGCAGGGTGCTGTTGAAGGGTCCGCGGGCACTGCAGGGCCGGGAGCTGATCTACCTGCAGCCCACCCGGGCCATCTTAAGTGCTGGGGGGGAGCAGCCTGACAGTGCCCGGGGGGCCCGCGGCTGGGGCAACTCGCCGGGGCACCGGGGCCGGCCCTGATGCAGCGAAACGTGGGGGAGGGGGGAAACATATTTCCCAGTTCTGCGGGGTTTCAGCCCAAAAGCTCCTCTGCTCGCTGGCGGGAAGGAGAGAAGGAGACTTAGTGAGGGCTTCCAGCTCTGCCCTAGCTCACACTGTACAAAGCCGTGAGCGTGTTTGCGCCTTTCTTCCCCCAAGCTAAGGTACGGAGAAGGGGCTTTTAACTCTGAAACTTTCATGAAACACTTTTTTTTTTATAATACTTTTTCCAAAACTGTTGGAAGTGCTTAAATCTCTTGAAATACCCCCTCCTGCTTGAAGGGCAGATTATTTTTTTTTCCCCTGTAGATTGCAAAGCATGTTGAAAATTTGTTCCCCTTAGATTTAACACAACGGCAATGGCTTCCTTCTCCCCTTTAGCCTTCTCCCATCCCCCAGCAATTGTTAATATAGATAGCACCACACCTCGGGGGGAGGGGAAAGGAAAAAGGCAAGAAGAGATCCGTTTCCCTATAATATCTTTTGACCCTCTTAAAATCATGTTCGTAAGCAACCTTTGTTTCACTTTGACCAGTCTTTCAAGAATGCTGCTTTCCATTGTAATTTTCATATGCATCTAAGCCCTCAAGCTTTCCCTGCGACACCCAGCCTCCTCCCCTCTTAAAATGCCACATGAGATACCTGGCTGCATAAGCAGCATTGCCTCTGGGCTTGCTTGCAAACTTCAGGCTTCTCTGGCCTGGCATACCCCTACCAGGGCCTGCTGTCACCCAAGGACCCTCTGCCATTGAGCTGTCTTGCAGGGGCCACAAGTGTCCTTAGCATATCCCTACATGTAAGGTAGGAAATGGGGGCACCAGTCTGTCTCGAAGTAATCTGTACTGGTGGAAAGGTGTAAAAAACCCCAGTAAAATCGCCCAGTTGGTTTCCCCATCCCAAAGTAAAGGAGTGTAAAGCTCCAATTTTCAGGAGATAGATTTGCATAGTGGTTCTTACAGAGCCTTAGTCTCACTAGTTGTCTGGTTTAGACACTGGAGGGCGACCTAGATAAAAGGTTAAAATTCATAATGCAGAAGGAAGGCATGGTTGATTATTTATAACAAAAAGAATTTGTGATACACTTTAGCTGTGATGTAATATTGTCCTTGTTGTTTCTTGCAGGATACAAACAAAATAATGAAATCAAACCTTAATCGCTCTTTCAAGATGAAATGTGACTTTGGTTGTATGTCTCTTCATGCTGGGTTTGCACCACTGAAGTCTACTGTGGAGAAATCGAGACTAGAAAAATCCTGCCCCTTGAATTATGAGAAGGGTTTTTGTAAAAGGTGTGCTGAAGAGCATCAGAAAATACTCCTTAGTGACTCGTACCATGTGGCCAGCAGAAATCTAAATCCTGAAGATGAAGGAAGACCTGTACATAACAAAGAAAACAAACAAGTAACCCAGAGACTTGATGAAGGTATCTATGAAATGGAGGCTCTGGAAAACAGTAAATTTAATGAGGACAGTGGTTATTCCTCTATATTAAGTAATCAATACACTGATGCAATAGAACATGAGGATATTATACCTTTGGCTGGGAATCTCTGTGAAACACCGAAGCATTGTCTTATGAAGAACCAAACCCAAACACAGTTTTCAAAGAAAACTTTGTTGCCAGTGATCCATTATGAAGAAATGATTTGCTCAACTTTGAAAAAAGGTGGTAAAAGAAATCTCAAGTCTTGGGCTGCAGTAGACAAAATTGTTTTTATGGGAAAGATTGAACTTTGCAACCTAATTGGAAAGAAAATGGGATTAGATAGAATAGACATACTTGCTGAACTCTTCCAAAAGGACCTGAAGCATATATTAGCAAACATTTTAAGGCATCTTGGTGAGACGGACTTGATCAAGTAAGTATATTAATCCCATTGTGTTTCACTGGAAAAGGAAACAACCTAATCAGGTGGCTTAAGAATGTTTTACATATGGGGGCTGTGACATATGCTCAGTAGTCAGTACTATGTAGTAACATATTAAAACATGAGCTGTCAATGTAAGCCATTATATATATGGAGAATGTGTCTTTTTCCTAGAAGGCAAATTTATAGATTACAATTGTGACCATATCCCATCTTCTACATGAAAGAAAAAGATAACATAGTTATTCCCACCATTAAAAAAAAGTTTTTCCCTTTCCTAAAAGGTAACTGATGTTTGTATTCTCATTGCAGTTTTGCCAAAGTCAGCACAACATGGCAGAAAATTCTACAAGAAGATAAATGGATTTTCCAAATTTATAGTAAAGCTGTGAAAAACCTTTCCGTAAGTTTCTGCACTTGTTAGATATTTCAAGCCTAAACCAGCAATTTGAGGACTCCTGCCAGGCCTAAGCAATCACAGAAGAGTTTTTTAGGCTGAAAACTTTGGCACTGGAGTGTCTGAGTCTATTCTGTTAGGATGCCCTGCTTCAGGTGTTGCTGGTCACTTCACTGTCTTTTGAGCCCAAGCAAGGTTGATAGAGAAGGTTGCCCAAGGAGAGAGGCAGATGTTCTTAAGAGCTTCCACATGCCCTGTGTTACAAAGGAAGGCAGGAAGGGGAGAGGGTCAGTTCCAGCACTGCCCACTGGGCAAGCCTTAGAGGCTCTACACAGAGGCTTGCTTACTTCAGCATCTCCACTGATGAAGAAGGGAGAGAGGCACTGAAAAAGTGCAACATGTTGGCTGCAGAAAACAGCTTTTTGCACTGTAGCTATTCCTAATTCCTATTTGTTCTATGAAATAAAAAAAATACATTAAGCATTGTGCTTTACCACGGCAGGACTCTTTCAAAACACTAGGGGTGTTTTTCTTCCTTGAGAGGTGGATATACAATGAAGCAAGACTTAGGATCTGCCACAGAATAAGGTGGTCAGCTACTTAGGATTTTAGGCTGTATTTTATGGTTCTAGCCTGTTGGGGTGAAGCAGTTGGACACCACTGAGCATTCATCCCATAAAGTTTGATTTCTTCCCTGCTATTGTATGTTTTGGTTTTTTTTTTAACTTGAATTGCAAACTTAGAAAATTGGTGGGAGGAGTTTCCTTTTTAAAGCTTCAAGCATTCCTGCTCCCCATAAAGAATTAGAAATATTGCTTTGGGCTTTTAAATGCTGCAGTGACCAGGTTACATGCTCTGCCTAAATAATTATGATGTGTTAATATGATAGTACATTGCATTACATAACAGAAGATGGGTGGTTTTGATGGTCTGAGCTAGAGGTCTGTTCTATGAATTTATGGCAGCTGTTGCTCAGAAAGCTAAGGTAAAATTAGTAGCGTACTACTTTGTATGAAGTTTTATTTGTGGAAACTTAGGCAGGAGGAAGGATCAAAAATGAGTTGCTGGCTTCTATTAAATGAAAGCTCAGCATCAGAAAAGTCTCTTCTCAAAATTTATTCTTCTTTTTCTTTTTATTAGAATGGTACTAAGACACCAGAGCATGCTGCAACAAGGGATTATGCTCTCTATCGAGCGGCTTTAGCTGCCATTCAGAAAGCAACCCCACCAAAAAACTTGGATAAAAAAAGCACCAGATCCAAAGCATCTAAGAACCACAGCAGGCTGATGGAGTTTTCTGAGGTAACTGGTGATTTAAATTTGTCTTCAATTTCTCACATGTTGTCTGGCACACGATCAGCTTGTAAAGTGTGTTTCTGAAAGTAGTATCTCCAGTTTGAAGTGCTTGTAACTCTTATTAGTATTTCTGCCAGATTTTGTTTATTTTAAGACAATGTTTATTTTAAGACAAAATTTTAAGATTGTTTATTTGCTTATTTTAAGACAATGTCACGAGTGGAGAATATCAATATATTGGGTTGTTCTACTTTTTTTTTTTTTCTTCCCAGGTACCTAGGGTACCTTCAAAATGCCTTTGTGATGTTTTGGGGGTTGTTTTTATTTTTGTCTTGGATCAGACATGAAAAAGTTCAGTAATTTCCTCTTAGTTTCCATGGACTTATAATGAACCATGTTTTCCAGATAAGCTAGAAAACTGACAACTTTGCTAAAAAATACAGACCAAAGACTAAGTAGCTCTTTAGGTCTTATATTTTAAAATAAACAAATGGATATTTCTCCTGTTTATTCTGTGTTTTTGGTTTTGGTTTGTTTTTTTCTTTAACTAATTAACATTAAAATGTTTGGTGTTTTTAATGACATAGTTTTAGTGTGATGCACATTTGGAGTTGTCAACAAGTGGCCCAACAGCCTTAAGTTTCTTTTCACCTTGTTATTTTTGTTAAGCATTTTTGTCTGCCACATATAGGTGTAGGTCTACATTGCAAGTCTTATAGGACTTGAAAATATTTATTGAAAATCATTGGTTATTAATAAGCAACAGATTTTCCAAACTAGAAAAAGATTTCATACTCAAGCTCAAAAGTCTTATTCTTCAACTTGGTGTAATAAGAGAAGATGATGTAATAGCACTGGAAAGTATGATGAAGCTCCTCTAATACTACTTTATAGCATTAAGAATCTGAATATTCAACTGTACACTGAAGAGGCAGTCTAAAAGCACACAATTTAGTTATATAAACATTTTGCTTTTAACATCTAAATGATATAAAGTGCTATGCAGGTCTATAATTTTCTAATGCTGAATGATTTTGAATAGTGGACCTGTTTTTGTGTCAAAAAATGAATTAATTTGAGAGAATTAGGAATTGCTTTTATTTGGTGTCTCAAGCTAAGCGCACTACAGCTGAAGTTTTGGAGACATATTTCTAACTTTTCAAAAATGTATTTTCTCTTTTTTTTTTTTTTTTTAACTGAAGTTAGCTAAATCACCATCTTTGCATGAAGTCTGGAGGATTCGGGAAGGCCATGTTTGCATTTAGTCTGTCCTTTAAATTTAAAATTTAAAGAATTTTAAATTGGCCACCTCTATTCCTCTATATCTCTAGTCCAAAATACCTGCAGCTATAGCCTGATTATTCCTGTTCAATCTCCCATCAGAATCTGATATAACCAAAATTAGGTTAAATCTGTGATTTATCTTTCTAGAGTAGGAGAAGTTATAGTATGTTTTGTGACACGTTAGATAACATTGGGGAATGTTTGGGGTCTGTATTTACCCTCCACTCATGATTTTCTTTATATGCTTTCTCAACAGGCTGCCAAGACCTTGAAAACCACTGAAAGCCTTAAAGCCTGCCACCGCTGTGGCTCCCCTGCAAAGTATGACTCCTATCTACAAAGAGCGATGTGCAGTCGTGAAGGTTGTGGCTTCGACTTTTGCACAAAATGCATGTGCAGCTACCACAGGTCCAGTGACTGTATGAGCACCAAATCAGTGAAACTCAGCTCAAAGTTTGAACTGCTTCCCGGGACTAAGAAAAGCAAACACAATCTACAGCGACTGTGATCCATCCATCCCAATAGAGATTGTCAGGGTTTGGGGGTATGAGGTTATCTTCAAAGAAAACCAAACAGGAAAAATGCTTTCTGCTATTCTGTATTTTTTAAAAAAGTTAATTTTATTACTCCTCTGTGCTACATGTTTGTGTTAAAATTCCTAGGAATCATTAAAAGAACTATTCTAAAAACTATTAATTTATAAATGAAAAAAAATAATCTGGATATGAATTGGAATAACATTTTAAATATTGTCCTGGCAATTTGTCTGTTGAGCAAAGCAAAATAGTTTTGGGAAGTAGCCTTCCATGTGTAACCCTAGCAATTCTTCAGTGACAGAAGGGGAAGCATAAACTGTTTCATTTAAATTTTTACTCCTCTTCAAAAGTCTCTTAAAAGCATTTAGAGTAAGAATGTCAAGTGAGGTGGGTGATGTCCCTTTTAGCATAAAATTATGAGGGAGTCTAGATTTTATGCTTCGCCTCCCAAGGCTTTGCCTTAATTTTAAAATGTGAAAGGTCGTAACACCTTTTTCTCTGATGCCTTACGTTACGTAAACCTTACATTGTTGCTCTTCCTTCATTTCTTCATTCAGGTCTTCCTTGAACTGAGGTGATAATCTTTCCAACATCACAAAAAAAAAAAGTACTGTATTTTGGTTCTAGTGCTAAAAAATACATTGCCAGTTTTTTCCAAATAAGATATTTTTTTAGTATTTGTATATATTTGTAAATACTACTTTAAATATTATTCATGTTTGTCTTGTAAATGTAAAAATAAATTGCTGTTTTCAACCACAAAATCTTAATTCCTACTTATCATCTTAAAAATTTACTTTTCATGCTCATTTCTCAAATTTTCCAGTAGGCGGTGCTTAAAAATGCTGATTTATTAACAAGGAGCAGATACCCTGGTTTTGTGTAAAATGTACTGAATCCATTCTCCTGCTGCATTCCTGCAGCTTACCTAAAGGCTTTTAGCAGTAATTGCTGATAGTTTCTGAACCAATGCATTCAATGGAGGATTTTCTATGGTCTGAATTTGTGCTGCTGCTGCAGAGCTGACACACTGTCAGCAAAGTGTTTGTGATTCTCCAGCAAGGAGTGATCACTTTCTGGAAATGCCTGGGGCTTGGGTGTGGCTTTTCCTTTATTAGTAAGTAGATAACAGACTGGGAAGGCAGCACTGTAGATCTTGCTCTTTGAAGTGGGACAGATGTTCTATACTGAATGGCAACTTTTCCTGCACTTGTTAGTTTTCAGTTTGTGACAGCAGTGGTAGAAGCAGTTGAGCCATCCCTCTAGCATTCTGTTTTTATGTGGTGAGCTTAATCCCCTACTCTAAACCTGGGATTTAAAATAAAAGGCTGGGTGAGTTGTATCAAAAACTCTCAAGAATGTAAATCTTTTGTTTATTGAAGTCCACTTACAGATATGCTCAAAATGTGAGAATGACCGGTGGAAGTCTTCCATCCTATTATACCTTATTCTGGTAATTAGACAATACCACCTTTACCAACCAGGCAAAGAACAAGAATGATTTTTGTACAGGAAGTAATGGCCCTCAACTACTGTATAGTGGTGTCTGCAGTATTTGTGAGACATGGAAAAGGCAATGGTCAGATGTTTGATACGCATGCAACAACAGTGAGTCTATGAGGCAGAGCACAGACAGACAAATATTAAAAGCAAAAGTTTGCTCATCTGTTACAAGCTTAACAGGTTTACCTTTTCAGGTTTTGAGTTCACTAAGGGGAACTATTCACTCTAGTAGGCCTAACAATTTGTACACGGAGAGAGTGAAGAGCAGCTGCTTTCTGTGTGTATGTTGTTTTGTTTCCTGTTGAAATTTATCTGCTTATGTAGAATTTTGAGAAAAATCCTTTGTTACCTCCAGGTAAGGGGAGTAATTGTACTATATGGCTTCAGGGGTCACAACTGGAGATGAACAATATGAAGAAATATCATTAACTTCTGAGTGATAAGAGGCAGTTACCTTCTACCTGAAATCTTGTTGGAAAGGTCAGGTTACTTGACCTCTAAGAAAGCTTTAGCCAAGCTGTACTGGGTCTGCTGCTAACCATTATGTTGTTTCTTCTTGTCCAACCATTTTTGTCTTATCCTGACCCTCAGTCCTTTGCCTACCAGCTTTAGTGTTAATAATCAAAATAGACATTCAAGATTGCAGTCTTCAACAGGTGAGTGACAGCTCCTTAAGAACCTTGGCCTCACCAATGCTTTCAATTTTCTTATGCAAAGCTTCTAAAGAGAAGCATGGGGATCTGTAGTAGTCTTGCAGCTGTTTCTTCCTTTAGGGTAAACTTGCCCAACAGTTGAAACCTTGCCCAGCAATGCTGAACAGTGGACCTGTATGAAAACTGTGCATCACACTGAAAGCCGTGTGATGGTTTGTTGTGTCATAAATACCTTCAGTGAATGGTTTAGGGCAGAAAAAAGCAGAATGGACAATATGTCTCCACCCAGGCACGCTGGCATCTACTGCAGAGTGAGAAAGCAGCTTATCAGAGTGAGGGTGTTGGATGTTAGTACTAATGGGTGCCCCAGACAGTGTTGTGGAGAGTGATTTGTGTGCTAAAGAAAGGAATAGAGTAGTAAATGCAGATCGCTGTTAATGTCTGTGCTTGGCCTATCTTGAACCTGCTTTTGATATGTAATCAACGTGAAAGTTGTACCTAGCACAAGAGCATAGCAGTTGCCATATGGAGATGAGCTGTCTCCAACAACTACATCTGTGCTGCCAAAACCACTTTCAGACTCAACATTTGGCAGCCTCGGTGACACTGCAGGGACACGATAAGCTTCTTGCTCACATTGCATACGCCTTTTAGATCTACAGAGGGTGATGAATACCCACAGGCTGACAGAGTCCCCTGGCTGGCTGATGCAAGAGTACAGATTTCACCCTTATATCTAGGCATTGCTCTGCATGGTGAGGAAGAGTGGGATGCTTCTCTGCTCTGAAAATTCCTGTGGCTAGTAACATTGCCCCCTGGCCTGACCAAGTATGGAGCCAGAATATTCCTTATTTCATCCTGACTCTAGCTGGGAGGCAGGCAGAGAACAGGGGTTTAGGACCCTCTGAAATCCATATTTAACTTCCATGTTTTTCAGCTCTTCTCTCTCTCACTTGTGATGATGTCTTGAAAAACCCAAGGAACTGCTTGAGATGCTTACAAAGCATTAAAGTCAACCTTAGCTGGCCTACTACAGCTACTAGAGAAACTGGAGACAAGTGTCAGATAACAGTGATTAACCTAATACTATCCTAACTTGTAAAAACAAGGGTGAGTTTGTATGCACTTATCCCTGTAAGTTATCCTGCTGCAGCAGCCTTTGTGCTTTGAGGTCAGTGGGACATGGAAGCATCAAAACAGAAAAAAAACCCCAACCAATCTCTTACTACAAATCGGTGACTGCTGGTGCCTTAGCACAACACACAGCATAGTTGTTCATCTTGGAGGCTGATTTCTGATGTGTGGCATGTGCCAGATATACTGTCACTAACCAAAGGTTCCACAGCAAGGAAGCAACATTTTAGCATGTTGAATGTTTTGTTTGACAAAGAAGTTTAAAACCCAACAATTTGGCAGCCATCACTTTCCACAAAGCTCAGAATATTTAGTGATAAAAAAAGTCAGCCTTGACTCACAGAATTTAAAATAGGAATCTAGATTAAGATTGTGGTAAGAATTCCTTCCCCATCTCCCAAGATATCTACTCCTAAAGCCAAGGCCTGAAAACCCTTTTGATGAAATAATGCTGTAGTACAGATATTTAAAAAACCGAAACACGTTATGCAAAGGGAAAACCACAAGATGGTGCTCTTGAAACACTGCGAGAAGCCCGATTCATCGAATTCCTCCTTGCTGAGTCCACGGAGAGCGTATTTCCTCCACCTCCCCTAGCTATCCACCTAGTTACTATGGTCACAGGTAATCACGTTAAATCTGCCATTGAAAGAACAAAGCCCCAAACGTGAATTCAGTTACTGATTTTAACTTTTTCCTTTTTCAAACCTACTTGTGTAGGACACGTACACATTTGCTAAACTTAAAAAAACAGAAGCCTTCTAAAAAAGTTTTATCCTGCTGCTAAATTCACACGCCTTCTTCAAGGAGTCATTTGCTGCCCTAGAAACGTAACTTTTGTCCACTTTGTGCCTGTGGAGTGACAAGTGGAAAGCAAAGCCACCACTCCAAAGCAGTGGGTGCAAGTCAATCCGTCAAGCCCTCAGCGCCAGTCTGGGTAAAGCAGTGAACAGAGCTTTGCCTGGAATTGGACATCCTGATCATCTGAGGTTTGCTGAACACCTCAGCTGCATGGTTGCTGTGGTGTGGCCTGGATGTGTCTCCTGGCAGAAGCTAACGGTGCTGGCTTGTAAAATATCTCAAAAGCATAGCATGAATATGCAACTCCTATACAGTGCATCCACTGTGGTTAGCAGGAGCTGGTGTCTTGAGCTGAAATGCCTGAATGTAAGGGTGGACCAGGCAATTAATGGGATAGATCCTTGATTCTGGAATACACTTGTCATGACAGAAAAGATTCCCCCTTTAATACATTTAAACTTTGGAGTAGAGGATAAGATGTTACAGATATGGACAACTGCTGGAATGTGAGTCTTTACCAGAGGATGAAAAAATTGTTGTGTCAAGATCACTTGATTTTAATGTTTCCTTCTTGGAGTGGTTTCTCCTCTGAAGGAATCCAGAGCAATAAAAGGCAAGAGGGGAAAAACAGTGCTGATATTCATAGCATGAAATAAAAGCAGCAAGGGTCCGCTTGAGCCTGTTGGCACATGCAGAAATAGTTGCAAGGTTCAAATGAAGGAACAGACGTTCTTGCTTCTGAGATCATAAAGCCACTAGGAGCTTAGCTTCTAGGGTTTAGTATTGCTCTGCTCTTTGCCTTTGGAACTGCTTTCACAGTATCACAGCATCACAGCACAGCACTCAAGCCAAGGGCCTGGGAGGCATTTTGAGAAATTGAGATTTTAAAAAAATGCAATTCGCTATATTTTCTGACTGCTCTGGAGATTTTAGTTTCATGCTGAGGGGATACAAAGAGCCCTCCATAGCCCCTAGCCAGCTGTAATGTCAGGACCAGCCCTGACAACAGGAACATCCCTGAGGATGTCCCCTGGCTTAGCAGGTGCATGGCTGGGGAAACGGAGGGAACCCTCGTTCTTCTCTGCCCCATTTTCCATCTCCAAGTGTTGGGCTAGCTTTTGTGATGGGCCAGAAGTGCTGCTGCCCTTGGCTGGTGGAGCTGTGGCTGCATTGAGTCACAGTGGGGAAAAGTGGGAGAGTTGGGAAAGTTAGCGGGGGTGGGTGTGGCTGTAAGTCCCAAGGTGAGGGGCAGTCTTTGTGCAGGACTTTAGGTAGCTAACATAAGCATGTTGTATGCGTGTATGTTCCTTGAAAAGCAAAAGCTTCTGGACATGTGATGCTATCTTGTAGCAAAACCAGATAGTAATGGTGAATGCTGGTGTTGCACTAAGTAGCCTAGATACAATGGCTTCCTCAGCCTATGTAGGACCCACACTGAGAGGATTGTGAAGGTCGGAGCTGGCTCTAAACAGTAGTTATTACATAGAATCGTAGAATGGTTTAGGTTGGAAGCGACCTTAAAAATCATCTAGTTCCGAGCCCCACTGCCATGGGCAGGCACATCTTCCACTGGACCAGGGTGCTCAAAAGCCCTGTCCAGCCTGGCCTTGAACACTTCCAGGAATGAGGCATCCACAACTTCTGTGGGCAACCTATTCCAGTGTCTCACCACC